TCAGGAAGATCCTGTGTATCGAATTTACTCAGTTTCTATGATCGGGCCACAGAGATATTACAGGAAAGAGATGGCTGGGTTGACTGCATCTATCTGGACCTAAAAAAGGCTTTCGACAGAGTTCCACATAAGAGGTTGTTCTGGAAACTGGAAAATATTGGAGGGGTGACAGGTAAGCTTCTATCATGGATGAAAAATTTTCTGACTGATAGAAAAATGAGGGCAGTAATCAGAGGCAATGTATCGGAATGGAGAAATGTCACAAGTGGAGTACCACAGGGTTCAGTTCTTGCACCAGTGATGTTTATTGTGTACATAAATGATCTACCAGTTGGTATACAGAATTATATGAACATGTTTGCTGATGATGCTAAGATAATAGGAAGGATAAGAAATTTAGATGATTGTCATGCCCTTCAAGAAGACCTGGACAAAATAAGTATATGGAGCACCACTTGGCAAATGGAATTTAATGTTAATAAATGTCATGTTATGGAATGTGGAATAGGAGAACATAGACCCCACACAACCTATATATTATGTGAGAAATCTTTAAAGAATTCTGATAAAGAAAGAGATCTAGGAGTGGTTCTAGATAGAAAACTATCACCTGAGGACCACATTAAGAATATTGTGCAAGGAGCCTATGCAATGCTTTCTAACTTCAGAATTGCATTTAAATACATGGATGGCGATATACTAAAGAAGTTGTTCATGACTTTTGTTAGGCCAAAGCTAGAATATGCAGCTGTTGTGTGGTGCCCATATCTTAAGAAGCACATCAACAAACTGGAAAAGGTGCAAAGACATGCTACTAAGTGGCTCCCAGAACTGAAGGGCAAGAGCTACGAGGAGAGGTTAGAAGCATTAAATATGCCAAAACTAGAAGACAGAAGAAAAAGAGGTGATATGATCACTACGTACAAAATAGTAACAGGAATTGATAAAATCGACAGGGAAGACTTCCTGAGACCTGGAACTTCAAGAACAAGAGGCCATAGATTTAAACTAGCTAAACACAGATGCCGAAGAAATATAAGAAAATTCACCTTCGCAAATAGAGTGGTAGACGGTTGGAACAAGTTAAGTGAGAAGGTGGTGGAGGCCAAGACCGTCAGTAGTTTCAAAGCGTTATATGACAAAGAGTGCTGGGAAGACGGGACACCACGAGCGTAGCTCTCATCCTGTAACTACACTTAGGTAATTACACTTAGGTAATTACACACACACACACACACACACACACACACACACACACACACAACCAACACACACACACACACACACCACACACACACACACACACACACACACACACACACACACACACACACACACACACACACACACACACACACACACACACACACACACACACACACACACACACACACACACACACACACACACACACACACACACACACACACACACACACACACACACAGTTGAAGTGTGAGAATCTCAGCTGTTTATGGATAGGAAGGCAACTATCAGTAAAAAGCGCCAAGACATTACGTCTATTTAGCCCTGGGAAGTGCTATGTAGGATAAGGATTGGGGATGGGACGGGGGGAAGGAATGGTGCCCAGCCACTTGGATGGTTGGGTATTAAACGCCGACCTGCCTTGAGATGGTTTGGTGTGGTTGCATGAAGTGAGACCGTCGCTCTCACCGTCCACCCCAAAGTGGGTGGACGGGTTTATGGGAAAAGAAGAATTATAATGGAGTAAGAGAAGGAACACGCTCCATGACTGACACTGATGCATTAATTATCAGAGACAACATCCTGTGAGGGGGTAGTGGAGCCCATACCCGCCCTGTGAGGGGGTAGTGGAGCCCATACCCGCCCTGTGAGGGGGTAGTGGAGCCCATACCCGCCCTGTGAGGGGGTAGTGGAGCCCATACCCGCCCTGTGAGGGGGTAGTGGAGCCCATACCCGCCCTGTGAGGGGGTAGTGGAGCCCATACCCACCCCGTGAGGGGGGTAGTGGAGCCCATACCCGCCCTGTGAGGGGGTAGTGGAGCCCATACCCGCCCTGTGAGGGGGGTAGTGGAGCCCATACCCACCCTGTGAGGGGGTAGTGGAGCCCATACCCGCCCTGTGAGGGGGGTAGTGGAGCCCATACCCGCCCTGTGAGGGGGGTAGTGGAGCCCATACCCGCCCTGTGAGGGGGTAGTGGAGCCCATACCCGCCCTGTGAGGGGGTAGTGGAGCCCATAACCGCCCTGTGAGGGGGTAGTGGAGCCCATACCCGCCCTGTGAGGGGGTAGTGGAGCCCATACCCGCCCTGTGAGGGGGTAGTGGAGCCATACCCGCCCTGTGAGGGGGGTAGTGGAGCCCATACCCGCCCTGTGAGGGGGTAGTGGAGCCCATACCCGCCCTGTGAGGGGGTAGTGGAGCCCATACCCGCCCTGTGAGGGGGTAGTGGAGCCCATACCCGCCCTGTGAGGGGGTAGTGGAGCCCATACCCGCCCTGTGAGGGGGTAGTGGAGCCCATACTTGCCCTGTGAGGGGGTAGTTGAAAAGATTACAGGGGTATATAATTTACTTGGAAAGTGACCACAAAAATTCATTTAGCACAGCAAGTTACATCACAGGCGAGCTAGTTACACAGTTTAACATAAATCAAGACTGCACGGTGTCCAAATTAACATCACCGTGACCTCGAGAAGCCCAACAGAGAGAGTGAGTTTAATATTATAAACTTAGTTTTTTCCCACATCCGCGACTCCCCGCCCCCCATTTACCTATTATTATACAATTTTACCGACCTTAGCATCCTTCTCCTTGACCTTGTGACCTCTGGCCCGTCTGCGCTCACACCTGCCGGGAGCCCAGATACATAATTCAAGGTTTTGAGAGGTGTTGTGGAGGGGGAGGTGAGGGAGGAGTGGCAGCAGTCGAGCTCCCTGACGGGTGCACGCAGCTCATATCTCCCGTCACGGCCAGAATTATGAGACACATCCTTTGTCGGGGCACCAGGCGCATGTCGGCCCGTATTGCCTGCTATATCACGCTAATTGCGTAATCGAAATAAGTTAGGGAGTATTCAAGGGTCTGCGAGGCGTATTTCGGTGTTCCTCTGGTCGGTGTTTATGCTCGCTACCGGCTTTAATTCGGGTTGGGGCGCGGGGTATAATGTGCATATATTATGAGCGTATAGTCAGTATTGACTCTGGACGTATAATCTTGCTTGATTCTGAGCGCGCATAATGCTGGTTACTTCCGAACGTTTAAAAAGGTGTAATTTCAAACTGCAAATATGTGCAGTGAGCCAGAATTCGGCTCCAAAATAACGCTCATGAGTCAGATTAAACAGCATTGGTTCTCAGGATCATTTGGATTGGTTCCATGCTCACAATGGGTATTGTTTCTAGACAGACAATTCTGATTAGATCCATGATTATAATGCAGATTGATTTTGAGCGTTTAATCCAGACAGGTTTAGGGCATATAACTTGAGGTTACCTGCATTGTACCTGGAGTTGGTTCTGAGAGTTCGTATCCCCTCGCCCTCGTTCGTATCCCCAACGCTCATGAGTCAGATTAAACAGCATTGGTTCTCAGGATCATTTGGATTGGTTCCATGCTCACAATGGGTATTGTTTCTAGACAGACAATTCTGATTAGATCCATGATTATAATGCAGATTGATTTTGAGCGTTTAATCCAGACAGGTTTAGGGCATATAACTTGAGGTTACCTGCATTGTACCTGGAGTTGGTTCTGAGAGTTCGTATCCCCTCGCCCTCTACTCTACTCTGCCTTAATTAGAGCTCTTATTCACGGGTTCACATCTCTACTACAACCCGGTTCGCCCGCCACTTTTTCAAGAAAAAATTAGTTTCTTGCAAGAAGTCCACTTTTGTTCCAGCAATTTTTTTTTTTTAAACTTGCTGGGAGGGTGTTGAACAACCGCGGGTCTGTGACGTTTAAACAATGTTCTCTGATTGTGCCGCCTGAATTCAATCAGAGTCTGACAGCTGAGTGGACAGCGCTTCTGATTCGTAGTCCTGAGGTTCCGGGTTCGATCCCCGGTGGAGGCGGAAACAAATGAGCAAAGTTTCTTTCACCCTGATGACCCTGTTAACCTAGCAGTAAATAGATACCTGGGAGTTAGACAGCTACTACGGGCTGCTTCCTACGGGCGTGTAACAAAAAGGAGGCCTGGTCGAGGACCGGGCCGCGGGAACGCTAAGCCCTGAAATCATCTCAAGGTCTCAAGATGGCACCTCTGCTCTTCACTGGTGATATTCTGCATTTTCTTCCATATCGTTTACACCCCAGTTTGTTGATATTTTACTGAAGATTTGGACATGGCCATCCACCTGGCCCTCCAGTATTTGGGACCTATGTAACAAGAGAGCAGTACATAGTACAACATGAACATCATAACAGCATGAACAAG